TGGGTCGTAATAGTTACGCTCCGCGAGAAGTCGGTTAGCTATATCTCTAACCTTACTTAACCGGGGAGGGTAAGATCGCGAATCTAGGTCGAGTATATATTCGATAATCTTCTCCTCCTCGAGCTCGGTTAATTTTATAGAATTCGGAGGGCTATCGCGTCGGGCGGGAGTCCTGTATATATAGCGGAGGAGGGTCGTCTTCGGTATATCGTAGATCTTTATAGCGCTATAGGTACTTAAACTCTAGTTACTTTCTATTACTTAGATTATAAGGACTATTTAACTTTCTTTAGAAGGTGTCGATATATCTTAGTGTGAACGTATCGTGTATTAAAAGTCGGAGGGTATAAAATGTAGTTAGGGCGGACTACTCGCCCGTATAGACTACTCGCCCGTGGATTACGTTATATTAATTTATAATTAATTAATAAATTCTTTTAAGAAATCTAGTAAAGATTTAATAAAAAGTAGTTAAGTTATAGTAAATTAAAGAAAGTAGGTTAAAGAGGTAGTAAGGGATTTTAGGGTGGCCGAAATAGGGGGGTAGCCGAAAAGTGGGTGAGGGACGTTATTCCGAGGGCTTAATTAGTAGTTAGGTCGGTGACGACCAGCGAACACCCGGTGTTGTATGTGAGCTTTTGCCTTGTTACACCCCTAGACGCCGTTGACTTCGACGGCTGCATCCTGGTGGTGTTGATGTATTATTACGGTTTGATGTTGTGGCCGCCTTCGTCATCCATGTCCAAGTCATCACTGATCCCATCATCCTGCCCATTCTCGCCGTCTTCACCCTCCCCGTCCTCGTCCGAGTACTCACCTTCACCCTCAGCAAACCACTCCGGCTCGGTCCAATCATGCCACTCTCTTGCCCTCGCCCATGCCCTCTGTTCGCGAGTCTTCTCCCACAGCTCCCGGGGGTAGATGGCAAGACACTCCTCGCACTCGCCGCAGTGATCGCAGAGATGCACCGGGTGCGTACCCGTCACGGGGTCGAACAAGCGCCCTTGGTCCGCTGGTGGTCTCTGCCCGCCAAAGGGCCCCGTCATCAGGTCGTATTTGTCCACGGCGCGTGGGAATATGGGCTCGCCGTTGATGAGATCCTGTCGCCGAGTCGTCCTTGTCACCACGTCGACACCCATTTTGATTCCCATGGTGATGGCCTTTTGAAACCGGACTTGGTTCTTCACTTCGTCGTCGTCGCTGTCGGCCACGCGGTAGTCGCCAGGCCTCTCAAAATTGCAGAGGTATAACGTCTTGAGGCCGTGCTCGTTCGGAGTTCGTAGCAGGGAGAAGATGGCATCAGCGAGCACATCGTCCGTGCCCTCGAACTCATCGGATGCGCCCCCGTCAGGCCCGAGCAGCACCAGGACCTCCAGATTCCATGGCAAGATGTTGTCCAAGTACTCGACAAACGCAGCCAAAGTTTTTTCGTCGACGCTGTTGAAAATATCGTCCATGTCGAGGGTGAATTGGCGCGCCGGGTTCCTGCTCAAGTCCTGGTCGAAATAGAGGCGCGAGCGGTAGCTTCTGAAGTTGCCGGGATTGTACACCATGATGCTCTCAATGGACTCGGGCTGGCGTTCGAAGAAGCACGTGGCGTGGTCGCCGATGTTGGCGACGTCGCCGAAGCTATCACTGCGCAGCGCAACAGTCCGCAGAGCCTTGGGGGCTGCCATCAGGGTATTGAAGTAATCGCCGCGACAGATGGACACGGCGCCGTCCAAGTACAAATGCTCTAGAACTGATGAGCCGGGGGCAGGGTTGTAAATGCCGTCGCTCATGTACCGCCACTCCGAGTAGTTTTCCAAGTCTTCATCACCCTCCATTTCACTGAGTCGGTGGAGGTAGAGCGATGAGAGGCGGGGAAGACGAAGCAGTTGAGCAAACAGCTTGGGGCTGGCCAGGTGCCCTAATTGAAGTTCGTCGTCGTCTTCGTCGCCAGTCTTGACGCCGATGGCCAGGCTCTCGAGCGCTTGAAGCCCACGGGCCTGAGGCGCCAGGTGAATGCCCTTCTCGATGGCCTTTTGAAGCCAGCTAAGCCACGCGTAGGGTTCATGAGGCACGGTGGGGATTGGTGATTCCATGTCGCCAGAGGTTGGGGTAGACCGCGCGAGCTTGATGTCGCGGAGGCGCGGCAATGTGGCGAAGAGCACAAACTTCAAGGCGGCGTCGCGCTGGCCGCGCATTTCGGCGCGGAGGTCTTCGAGAAGATCAGCCGGGAAGCCGGCGTCGTCAAAGACCTGGACATAGGCATCGACCTCGCCGGCGTGCCATTCCCACGCGAAACCATCGGCGTCGACCTCGTCGGCGTGCCATTCCCACGCGAGGCCATCGGTGTAGCGGTAGAGACCGTCGTGTGGCGACTGGGGAAAGCCGTCGTAAGCTTTCAATCTGCGCAAGTCCCACGACTCGAAGCTGCGGACGTGCCAGGCCGGGATTGGGTCGCCGAAACCAAAGACGCTCCGCAGGAGAGTGAGGACAGTGGCGGGGTCGCGGTCCGATGCGATGCGATATTTCTCGTGGGCGCCTCTGTGGCGTCTCAGCACCCCACGGGCGCATTCGGCGAGGCGCCTGCAGGTGAGGGTGACATCCAAGTGGGACTCGAAAGGGACATTGTCGATGATCTTGGAGATGATTTCGGTTGGCAGAGATGTTAAAGCTAAGCGTCCGTGGGCCAGAGCTTGGGCCGAGTCCCCTGAAAGAGAGGTCATTGCCGGGGCAGAGATGGCCGTAGGGAGAGTGATGGTTGTGGTTGAGGCGATGATTGCCCCAGACCGATGGTACTTATGATGCGGCCGTTATTGAGCTCGCCCAAAGCTTGGGCCTGCTGCTGCCTGGGTCTTGCAGGGAAGTCATGACAGATGTGGTTCTTCGTATGTTTAGCAATGTTCATGGACGAGCACCAACTGCCAAAACGTGGGGCCAGGGGAGATGAGGTGGTTGATCTTGGCTAGCCCTAAGTTTGGCATACTTATTCCCGCATCCCGGCCTTTTCTTTCACGTCACGTGTGACATGTTGCCGGAATGGCTCAGTGGTAGTGCGTCTCTCCACCATCCCACACTCAGCCCTTACCAGCAACTAACATCCCGATAGGAGCGTCGCACTCGTAGCTTGCGTAATGCGAAGGCCCACGGTTCAATCCCGTGTTTCGGCAAACAATTCTTTTTTGGTTCTTGAAGGAGCTACCCCACAAGACACTGCAGAAGTGCATCGTGGTCGTCCATCTCCGTCTCCAGACGTGCCAACTCGGCCCTGAAAAGGACGCGTTCTCTTTTGACGGTTTCCTGGGCCTTCACCTCCTCCAAGTGTTCTGACTTCATAGCGGCACAGTCTCTCCTGGGCACTTTGGCCAGTGCCATGGTCCGAATTGATGCCAAAACGACTTTGTCTTCCTCACTCGGGCTGGAACAGGACTCCAGATAGCCACGTTCTGCCAAGAGGAGAGCAGCCCTCAGGGTGTAGTGCGCGTCGTTGCCCGCGCAGTGTAGGTCTCCCTGGTTCCATCCTACCCCGAGCGTTGTCAGGATCTTCTTCAAAGACCCGAATGCGCGACCAGTGTTGAAGATATCACCACTCATAGGGTATGTGTCGGCGATACCAGCGAATTGGGGATTCTCGTCGAGGTCGAACCCAAGCTTCGTCAGGACGACTCGATCCGAAGAGAAGCTCTGTGCGACCAGCACAACCGGGCGATCGGGCGGTAGAAGCGAAGTCAAGTATGTGATGAACTCGCTTGTTCTGCAGGCGACAGTCTTTCCGAAGACAAACTGGTTGGATGCGGCCCTGATGTAATCGGGGTAACCTGACGCAAATTGGATCGACTGGATGTGGCCGGGATGACTTGTGCCTTTGAGATGCAAGGGATCAAGGATCGCGACTCCCATCTGTGCATTGACATTGACTCCAGTATTATTAAAAATGCCACAGGTGTTCCCAAAATCGATGGCCACAAGAATCGATCCAGGCGGTGCCACTGCGACAGCTCCTTGCGGAGGTTTCTCAGGGCAAGAGAGGCCCAGTGCCGACACCATGTGGCGGAGGCTGCAGTTGACAGCTGCTGGTGAGTGAAAGGTGAGTTTATCCATGCTGGTAATCGTCGGGGTGCTTTGATGGGTGTAGTGGACTGTGTCGTCGAGGAGAGCGGTCAAGCTGACGAGTTCATGAGATTCATTAGAAAATGTCTGGTGCACAGGTGTAGCCTGACGGATTTCCTTTTGCAGAGCGCTTGGAGACGTCTTCTGGCAGGACTGGCGCCTATCCCGAATGTTCTCGTAGCTTTGCGACCACCTCAAAGCCAAAATATGCCACAATCAGCCCAGCCGTTGCATCGAGCGAGATTTGTGGCGGAATCTCGAGGGCCAGGGCCACAGAAGCCATGCTTCATGTCTCGGGGGCCTCAATCTTCTCTTGTTGTCGGTGTAAGTTGCGTCGGTCTATTAGCTCCCCCTCAAGAAAACAAATCTGACCCTTTTGTTTGGTCCGGGATCTCTGAGGCAGATGCAGACCGAAGCTAGACATCTCATCAGTGAAGACGAATCCATTGTCTCAACGGCATCGCTTTTCCGTCCATGCGAATGCCCGTGAGCCCACCCCTTTGAAAGGCCCCGCGAATTGATCCCCAGGCAGATGGTAAAATTGTCGATCAAATAGAAGAGAACCGTTGCCATCGGGTGCAGCCAACACGGAGAGGTTCCGGCAAGTCTGGCTGCCAGTGCTGGTCTGCTCAAGGGAGACCCAAGTCAGGGGCACTGTGACCCCCCACTTAGTCAGCACCCTGAATCACGACTCCACGTGACTGCGCGGCGCGGGCCGGCCAATCGAGCGCCAGATAAAAAGTTTTGTCGGGACAGCGCGGGCATGATCAGTCCATCCCCGACAGGCCCAGACAAGCAGTGTGCGAGCCCGAATTTCGTCCCTTCCTTTTCGTTCCTCGTTTTCTGCCAATTTGGTCACGATGAGGGCGCCCAGGGCTCTCAGGGTGCCGAATGGCAGCCTCTTCGTGGGCTCAACAACAGCCCACGGTAGGGGCAGCATACGATGCTTCTCCATCGCCGTCACCACCAGCACATCAAAGGTCGACTCGAGACGGCACTTTTCCAACACGTCGAGACGATCCAACACGGCGGCCGCCGAGGCCCTCAAGATGGCCCAGCAGAACGCTTCTGCGCTGACCCCGGAGGTCGTCAAGGCCAACATGTCCCCCGAAGAAGCCCAGCGCCTGTCGCGCGTCCGAAACATCGGCATCGCCGCCCACATCGACAGCGGCAAGACCACCGTTACCGAGCGTGTCCTCTTCTACACCGGCAGGATCGGCGCGATCCACGAGGTCCGCGGCAAGGACTCGGTCGGCGCCAAGATGGACTCGATGGACCTCGAGCGCGAAAAGGGCATCACCATCCAGTCGGCCGCCACGTTTGCCGACTGGAAGAAGACGGAGGACGGAAAAGAGGAGACATACCACGTGAACATCATTGATACCCCCGGCCATATCGACTTCACCATCGAGGTCGAGCGTGCTCTGCGCGTTCTCGACGGTGCTGTCATGATCCTGTGCGCCGTCAGCGGCGTGCAGTCCCAGACCATCACCGTCGACCGACAGATGAAGCGCTACGACGTGCCCCGCCTCAGCTTTGTGAACAAGATGGACCGTGTCGGCGCCAACCCCTGGAAGGCCGTCGAGCAGATCAACAAGAAGCTCAAGATTCCCGCGGCCGCCATCCAGGTCCCCATCGGCATGGAGGACGAGCACGAGGGTGTCATTGACATTATCGAGATGAAGTCCATCTACTTCGAGGGCCCCCGTGGTACTGAAGTCAAGACCGTCGACTCCGTTCCCCTGCAGTACCAGAAGCTCGCCGAAGAGAAGCGCCAGGAGCTCATCGAGAAGCTGGCCGACGTCGACGACGAGATTGCCGAGATTTACCTGATGGAGGAGACCCCCGACAATGCTCAGATCAAAGCTGCCATCCGCCGCGCCACCATCGCCCGCAAGTTCACTCCCGTCCTGATGGGCTCCGCCCTCGCCAACAAGGGCATCCAGGCCGTCCTGGATGCCGTCTGCGACTACCTCCCGAACCCTGCCGAAATTGAGAACATGGCCCTCGACAAGTCCCGCGACGAGGCCTCGGTCAAGCTCGTCCCCTACAACTCGCTCCCCTTCTGCGGTCTCGCCTTCAAGCTCGAGGAGAACAACTACGGCCAGCTCACCTACATGCGCGTCTACCAGGGCAAGCTCAAGAAGGGCGCCTACCTGTACAACTCCCGCACCGGCAAGAAGGTCCGCATTCCCCGTATCGTGCGCATGCACTCCAACGAGATGGAGGACGTCTCCGAGATTGGCGCCGGCGAGATCTGCGCTGTCTTCGGTGTCGACTGTGCTTCTGGCGATACCTTCACCGACGGCGACCTGCCCTACACCATGACTTCGATGTTCGTCCCCGACGCCGTCATGTCCCTGTCTATCAAGCCCAAGCGCAGCGCCGACGCCGACGCCTTCAGTAAGGCCATGAACCGCTTCCAGCGCGAGGATCCCACCTTCAGGCTCCACGTCGACGATGAGAGCGAGGAGACCATCATCTCGGGCATGGGCGAGCTGCACTTGGAGATTTACGTCGAGCGTCTCCGCCGCGAGTACAAGTGTGACTGCGAGACTGGAAAGCCCCGCGTCGCCTACCGCGAGACCATCTCCCGCCGCGTCGACTACGATTACCTCTTCAAGCGCCAGACTGGTGGCCCTGGTGATTACGCTCGTGTTGCTGGCTGGCTCGAGCCCTACGACGACCCGGAGGCCAACTTCTTCCAGACGCAGGTCGTCGGTGGCACCATTCCCGACAAGTACCTGACGGCCTGTGGCAAGGGTTTCGAGGAGATCACCGAAAGGGGCCCCCTCCTGGGCCACAAGGTCATCGGCGCCAAGATGATTGTCAACGACGGTTCCACTCACGTTACCGATTCTTCCGATCACGCCTTCAACCTGGCCACGCAGTTTGCCTTCCGCAAGGCGTTCGAGGACGCCGGTGGCCAGGTGCTCGAGCCCCTGATGAAGACGACCATCACGGCCCCCAACGAGTTCCAGGGCAACATTCTCATGCTCATGAACAAGCGCGGCGCCACCATCAACGACACGGAGATTGGCAGCGACGACTTCACCCTGCTCGCCGACTGCTCCCTCAACTCCATGTTCGGCTTCAGCTCGCAGCTGCGTGCCGCCACACAGGGCAAGGGAGAGTTTGGCATGGAGTTTAGCCACTACGCCCCGGCTCCTCCCCATCTGCAGTACGTATTCCTGATGAAGATGTTTTGTAACAAAATGACTGACGCTTTGTTTGTAGGAAGGAGCTCATCGCCAACTACCAGAAAGAGCTGGATGCGAAGAGGACAAAGTAAGCATGTCGCTCTAGATGAGAGGCATCGCCTGGGCATAGGACGGACGATGCGTCCTGTGCCGGGCTTGTATCAACACCCAGGGGACCAGACCCGAAAAAGGGAACCCCCGATATCGGCACCTGTACATTGTATAACACATGTAACGATCCACGTGCCGAGGCGCGCCGTCTGGAGGCAGATGAGCGCAGTCTTAGATGACATAGATGTACATAGAGAAGCATCTCACTTCTAGATTGTAATTCAGAATGCAAGTTTCAAACAAATTTGGAGTGCTTGTTGTTGTTTTGTCTACCCAGATCCAACACCACTTGCCGATCTTATCCAATAGATCCTCTACTCAACTTCACACGGGTATCTAAAGCCTCCTGAGGATGTCCTCAATAACCTCGGTGGTCTTGGCGGTGCCACCCAGGTCGGGGCTCAGCAGCTTGCCCTCCTCAAGGTTGGCGTCGACAGCGGCGTAGATGCGGGCAGCGGCAGCCTCCTCGTTGAGGAACTCGAGCATGAGGGCGGTAGAGCGGAGCGTAGCGATGGGGTTGGCAATGTTCTGGCCCTGGATGTCAGGGGCAGAGCCGTGGCAGGGCTCGCCAATGGCGAAGCCCTCACCGACGTTGGCGGAGGGGACGAGACCAAGGGAGCCGACGAGGGCGGCGGCGCCGTCGGAGAGGATGTCACCGTACAGGTTGGGGGCGACGATGACGTCGTAGTCCTCGGGCTGGCGGAAGAGCTTGTAGACCATGGAGTCGACAATTTGCTCCTCGACGGCGA